GCCCCTCCTCGTAGTGGCGGTTGATGAATAGGACGTGCAGCGGGCGGTCGGCGGCGGAGCGCTGGTCGAAGGGGAAGCCGAAGCAGTCGGCGATGCGCTGGCGGTACACCTGCATCGCCGCACGCGGCGGCTCCTTCCAGTTCTCCTTCAGGTCCTGCGGGGAGCGGTTGCGGAGATGGCAAGGGGCGTCGAGGTGAGCAAAGGCCGCCGTCGGTTGGTGACGGAAGGGAAGGGGGTGGTCATCGGTGCGCAGGAGAATGTGTGGCAGGCTGTGTCGAGTGGCCCAACCCTAGCCCAGTGCCAGGCTGCCGGCCCCCCAGCCACAGCACATGGTAGCCTGAAACTCAGCACATTTCAAACCAGGCGGGCACCCTCTACATGCAGGGCATCACCCACCTTTTCCCAGTTGTGGAAGACTCGGACCTCAGGCGACACGCCCACCACTGCCTTTTCCAGGATGACGACCTGCAGGTGCTTGGTATCGGGGTTATGGTCCCGCAGGGTCCGGCTCGCCCACACCCTCTGCCCCCATCCTCGTCGATGGGGACACGCCGAAATGCTGCCCAGAAGACTCACCCGTCCACTCAGGGGGGCATCATCCTTGTGGAGCACCGGGGCGGGCGAGAGGCACTTGAAGACGTCGGCCAGTGAATCTAGCATGATGTAGGCTGGCTGCCCCGCTTGCTTCTCCTGGACAAAGAAGAGGCGCAGGCTGCGAGGAGAAGAAATTGGGTTTTTTTTGGGGGGGGGGGGGTGGAGGAGGACAGTGATGAGTGACCTGCAGAAGACTGACGCAGACAAACAGTAGGCCGTTGCAGTGTTTGAATGGGGTGATCTGGCACGCCGAGCGGGCTGGGCAGGAGGCCCTTGCAGGCGAATTCGCGATGACTCTCGCCGGCATGCATGAGCCCTCCAGCACACCTCGCCAGCCGCCCCCGCCAGACCTGCTGTGGGCGTCGTAGGTGCAGTCCCCCAGCCACTTGCACACCACGTGGTGCATGGTGGGCGCTACCTCGGAGAACATGTGGTAGAAGTTGGAATAGTGCTGCTGGTGGAAGAGGCCGGCGGTGGCCACCCTCTCCACCTGGGGGGAGGGTCATGGAGCGGTGGGGGACGATGGTGTGGGCACGGATTGGGCACGTCCTCAGACAGCATGCATGTGCATTCGCAGGCTCCAGAGAGCAGACGTCAGCGGGCAAGAGGCCGGATCACAAGCCCACAGGCACCAGACGGCTCGTCTGTCACCACGTCAACGGGTGACCCTAAGAACACATCCAACCCAATTCCTTCCTTCTTCCAAAGGTCCCACACACCTCCACCTTGTCCCAGGCAAAAGGGAGCCCAGACTGGTTGACGATGGTGGCCTTGAACATGTCATCCCCTTCAAACTTCTTGAGCCAGGCATACTGGATGGGCGGCAGCTCCACCTGAGGGTCTGTCGTGCCATGGCAAGGCCGGGGGGGGGTAAGGGAGTGATGCTGGGCGGAGGTCTCGACGTGTGCATGCAAGCGCTCAACAATGCACCTGCCGCAAACCCTGCCATGGGACAGGGCAGTCATGCACAGCAACTGCCCGGGCTCCATCCTCCCAATTGCCTACCAGGCGAAACATAGAAGACCTGGCCTTTATGCAACAGCAGATTGGAAAAGACACAGACTCGCTGCTCTGGTGACCCATCCTCCGGCTCAAAACACTGTGTGTGAGGCGTATTGTATGGATGAATTCGATCAGTGGCCGGCAGTGGGGACCGACAGGGGCAGAACCATGCAGCTCCAAAACAGCCTCTACTCACTTCATGGGAGGAACGCAGGCTGCCAGGACTCTGTGATGCCCCGGCCAGCTGCCGCAGCCAAGCTGTCTGGTCTGCAAAGCCGCTCCGTGCAGCAGCAATCTGTTGTGCATTTGGGGTCGCGCACATGTCATCAACGCTCACATTCCATCGAGCGGGCAAGGGTGATCAGGGCAACATCGTCTTCATTGCTGTGGCTAAGATCTGGGTACCCGATGCGCTAAGTCACATTAAAGGTCGGTGCGTCTCTGCCCATTCACCTGGACTCCGGATGCGAGTTGTATAATGACAAGGATCACGGCCGCTGCGATGGCTGGCAGGAGCCATGATGGTGTGAGAACGCGGTGAGGTCGGGACGGCTTGGTCTGCATGTCGAGCCGTGCCAACTGATGGGCAGACAATTCGGCTGCTAGCACGTCTCAGAGATCCTCCATTGATGTATGGCTATAGCATGCGCATGTGGAACGAGGGACAGGAGCAAAGGAACACCAGTCTGTGTACCGCAGCGAGTGTGCTGCTTCTGGCCACACCACGATATGAGATAGTCGCGATTGATAACGGCAGCGAATAAGTCGATGATGTCTGGATCGCATCATCTGCTGCAGCCATACGATCATGTTTAGGAAGCATCGTCATTCGAACGAAGGGGCCAATTCTCCGCGCGATGCGGTACAGCCTGGTACCGTGTACGGTTCCAGCAATTCCGATGCACACAGCCTCGGGTGCCTCCCTGCGCCAGCCACGCGAGACATCTGAGAGCTCCTGCCCTACTCGAAACACATAACTCCTCTCCCCATTCTCAAGAATCCGCGGGGTCGTGGTGTCCACCTGCCATTGCCGGCATATTCTATTCTCGACCACGCCAGACATGTCCGCGTTGGAATCTTCGTCCCCAAACTGGAGCTCCCAGAGCATGGGTAGCGACATCAGCTCCTCCGAAGACCATCTTTCCAGTCAGGTGGGCTCCGCTGGTCCATCATGTCGCGAGCCGAGGTGTTTGCATGTGGTTCCGGGAGCGCACGCGCTGGCGTGTGGAATCCCACCCCACCCCACCCCGCCCCATGCCCCCGCAGCTCTCGCTCCTGGACTCCCTGGAGTACTCCAATGGCAAGCCCAGCCGTCCACGTATGGGTCGCGGCAGCCGCGGCCCACGCCCGCGGCTCTTCGCGAAGGGCAAGTGCCAGGCTGATGGCTGCTCCGTGAACCTGAGCAAGCTGCCGTTTTACTACCAGCGCAACCACGTGTGCACGGAGCACAACAAGTGCCCTTCGTTCAGGCGTCAGGTGGGCGCCATTCTCTGCAGTGTGCTCTGTGCAAGGAGGAGTTGACCGAGCAGGTTGAACCCCTGGTATCCGGGGAGTTGTTTCTTTGGGTTAGTCCTACCAACACACCCCCTTTGTTACACAATGGCCAGGGTGAGGAGGTGCGCTACTGCCAGCGTTGCGGCGTGGCCCACCCCCTGTCCGACTATGACGGTGACAGGCGGTCTTGCAGGCGCCAGCTGGAGCGCCACAATGCCAGGAGGTGAGCGGAGCCGGACATGCATGCAGGATTCGGGTCGCGCTGAGTCAGTGGATTTCCGGGCGCCATGGACCAAACCCTTGCACCCGTGCATGCGGCGCCCTGCCGCCTCCTGATCCCACCTCGCACGCACGTCACTCCTTTGCCAACACCTCCCCCGCTCCCCACACACGCAGACGACGCCTGGCCCTGGCCGCCGCCGCCACGCCCCGCTCGCGCTCCCCCGCCGGCGAGCGCTGGGTGGCGCCGTCAGAGCCCGGGCCGCTGCCCCTGGCGCCGGTGGTGGCCCCCAGCGCGTCGTACGCCGTGCCGGCGTTGTCCCCCGCCGCCTCCGCAGCGGCCGCGGGCCCCGTCGACGAGCGCGTTTGTCGCGGCGACGAGTGTGTTTGTGGGCCCTGTTGTTCCCCCGCTGCCTTGGGATGTGGACGAGGAGGAGTCCCCGCTGCCGCCCCCACTGCCGCTCTGGGCGGAGCTGGGTTGGGCGCCGCCCCCGCCCGCTCCCCACCGGCCTCGGCCCAGCCCCTTTGCCGGCCCAGCGGCAGCCTGGCTGGCAGCAGCAACGACTCCGCCGCCAGCTGCGCTGGGCCCGCTGAGGCCATCTCGACGGCCGACGGGCCCGCCGCCGCCGGCCTGCCTGCTCATGGTCCCGCTGGCGGCCGTGAGCGTGCAGTGAGCCGCTTGGGCGCGGCGGCCGCCGCGACCGAGGCGGCGCTCGGCGTGCTGCAGCGGCAGCACGCCGACGCCTACGGCTTCCTGGTGCAGCACCAGCTGGAGCTGGCGGGGCTACTACTGGCCGCCGCGCGCGTCGCCGCCAGTGCCGCGCCCGCCCGGCGCGCCGCCTGCCACTGACCACCTTGTCGTGTGCCTCCTGTACCCATCCCCCTTCCTCCCCGGGCCCCCTGTCTGCTGCTGCGCAAGCACGCCACCGGGGCGTGCTCGTTTTTCCTAGATGTACATCCCCGTCGGAGAGCATGGGGGGCCCCTGGAACTCTCGAACAGCGCCCCAGACGGCATGGCTTGGCGTGTTTGCCAGCCCCACCCATGGTCGTAAGGACCTTGTCCCCATTCCAAGCAGCGCCACCGCATCAGCGCCGGCGGGGCACGTACTCCGCGTCGCTGTAGCTGTTGCCCAGCGGCTCCGCGTCGTGGATGGAGGTGCGCACCACGATGCGCTGCAGCGTGGGCCTGGCCTTGCCCGTGGAGAAGCCCTGCGCGCATGGATTGAGGGAGAGAGAGGGGCAGTGGGCTGATGGGCAGCGCACGCACAGTCCCTCGTGCAAAAGAACGCGCATCACGCACCTGTGCCTTGGGGATCCCGCCCCGTCGGTTCTGCAGCGCGGCGGGCAGGTGGTAGTTGGACTCGCCCGCCAGCGAGTTCTGCGGTGGTGGTGGGCAGGGTCGGAGGGGTGAGGGTGATGCAACGGTCAGCCTGGTGCCACGCGCAGCATGTGCATGGCAGGCATGGCCGAGCCGCAGGCCCAGGTACCTGGAGGAAGGCGTCCATGGGGTCGGACATCGAGTTGTGCGGTACGTACTGCGCGCGGCGTCGTGGTTCGTACACCCCATCTGCAGCGGGGCGAGTGGGTTTGAGAGGGTGGGTGGAGGTGGGGTGGGGAGCAGACTGCCTCCTGGACACCCTTGGCGCAGGGGACTCAACATGCAGGCTGCTGGAGGCCCCGCACCTGACATGGAGTTGCCCAGGTAGGAGGGTTCGCTCAGGGAGGAGGCGGAGGCCAGGCGGGTGGCCTTGACGCTGGGGCTGTTGGACAGGGGCCGGTCCCCGTCGCTGGCGCTCGCTGCCTTCTTCCCGTCCGAATCGGAGGCCCCGCCCGACATGGATCTGCGCAGATCCACGGGCACGTATGTCGATGTCCTCAACCAGGACAGGGACGGCTGGATCAGCCGGGTCAGGGTCTTGGCCTGGGGTGTCGTCGCCATGGTGCACTGGTCGACTGGGAACCTTCAGAGTCGGCCTGCGGAACGATCAATCACCCGCCTGAAACAACTTTTAGAAGCGCCGCTGAGTGCAGTGTTTCAAAGGATCAGCTGGGCACACGGTTTGTACGCGTACCCCTGTTGCGTTTTCGGAAATCTCATGGGTGACCCACGTGACGTGGCCTGCAAGCTTCACATCATGGAGAGCGTGGTCTTGAGCTGCACTTTAAACCACTCTGCACGTTTCGTTCCGATGCCTTACATCATGCAGATCGAGCGGCTCCCTCATGTTTCCGATCTGGGGTCCCAGCCAAAGTGTGCCTCTGTTTGAACAATCTCCCCTGCAAGGCATTGCTCACTTACCAACCCTGATTCCTACCCGGAGCAAAGTTCCTGCAGCAGAGCAGGCAAAAGTGACAAACCCTTGGGGGGATTAACAATGGAACACAATTCCTGGTCGGCCAGTACCCCGGCCGCACCAGGAGGCTTACATACTACCATGTGACACTGTGATCACCCTCCAGTGTACTGCACTCATCTATACTCATTCCAGACTCAGAATGGAAGGGGTATTCCACGAAAGGGCAATTTCTGGATTGATAGTATTGTGAAATTACCAAAGCATTTGCGTGCTCGTGCATGGGGAATCAACCTCGCCGGACGAAAGTCCGAATAACTTCATGCACACCTCACGATCTGAGGCCTCGCTGGCCACATGCATCTGCATACTCCCTCGCTTCCGCAGTCGTCCTGCATTCACAATTCTTGATCGCTCTTCCCACCATTTACATGTCTCTGATGAGTGCCCTAAACGGCATGCGGAGTGGGAGTGCGGTGCTCCAGCACCCCGGACTGCGAATCCACGCCACCGGCGGGATGCATGCCACCATCAGGGCCCTGCCCTGCCTCCGCAGCACTCGCATGTTTGCCAAGAAGGGATCAAAGCCCGGAGGTACGAGTCGAAGCCCTTTTCCTGCTCCATGACACCCCGCGCATGCCGGCCACATGAAGCAGTGGGGGCCCTGGTGTACGGGCGAGCTACGTGATCGCACTGCATGGCGCCCATCGCCTGATCTCATAGGCATTGCACATCTCGAAATCCGTCAACCCCCCCTCTTTCTCCCTCTCCCGCAGCAGAGGGCCCCCTGGGGGGTCCGAGCTCCGGCGTGCCTCCCCCACCCCCGATCGCGACCCCCACCAGCGGACCCGCCAGCGCGCGCCCGCCCCCGCCCCCCACCCCGTCGCCCACCCTGGGGTCCACCCCCACCCCCAACCAGCCGGCCCAGGACTGGGTGGCCCAGCAGGCACGGTCGCAGGCCGCCTCCGCCCGCGCGGAGCGGGAGCGCCGCCAGGCAGCCGAGGACGCCGCTGATGCGGGGCGCGAAGCCGGCGCCCGCGTGCGTGGTGCCGCCGAGGAGGTGGGCGACGCCGCGTCCCGCGCTGCCGACGATGCGGCCGGCGCGGCGGGCGGCCTGGCCGCCGGCCTCGCCGACGTCGCCTCCGAGGTGGCGGGCGGCGTGGCCGAGGCGGCCGAGTCCGTGTCCGACCAGCTGGGCCAGGCGGCGGCAGGGGCGGACCGCGTCGCCACGTCACCGCCGTCCAGCTGGTCGGCCGAGGCCAGCGTCCCCGGCGCGCGCGTCTCGCCCGGCCCCACCCCCGTGCGCGTGGGGTCGCCCCCGCCCCCGCCCCCGCCCCCCGCCTCGCGCGTGATCCCCGTGTCGGGGCCCTCGGCCAGGCCGGCCTCGCTGGGTATCAACGGCGGGGCGTCCCCCACCTTCCCCCCCAGCCCCCAGCCCGACGAGAAGCTGGTGGGTGAGCTGCGCGATCGCCTGCTGGCGCTGGTGCCCAGCCTGGACCGCGGCGTGGCTGCGGGCCCCGAGGTCGCGGCGCGGGTGGAGAGCCTGGCCGCACAGCTGGGTGCTGCGGGCGGCCCCGTCATTCTCAGCCGCGCTGGCGGGTACGGCTCTGCCGGCGGGTATGGGGCCTCCCCCTCCGACTCCACCCTGCAGCAGCTGGGTGGCCGGTGGCGCCTGGTCTACTCCTCCGCCTTTGCCAAGGCGGGGCGCCTGACGCTGCCCCTGCCCCTTCCCGCAAATGTGGGTCAGATCTACCAGGACATCTTCACCGACACCAACGAGCTGGACAATGTCCTCGAGCTGCTCTCGCCCATCAGCCTCGCCTCGGTTGTGCCAGGTGCGGGGGGGGGGGGAGGATGCTGGGACAGGGCAAGGAGAAGGGGTGTTATTGGCTGTGGTTGGGAGCCGGGGTTGCCCGGTCGGGATGGTCTGTGTGCCCTGCTCACCCTTCTTGCTGCCCTTTCAGAAGTCTTGAGTCCCTTATTCCCGCGCTCTCAGCCCTGGCACATGATTCCTCGTCGTCCCCACAAACAACTGCAGGCCTGTCTGGGAGCCGGCCCACGGCCACGGTGCGCCTGAAGCATTCCTTCGTACTGGAGGGGCCGTCCACGCTGAAAATCTCGCAGACCAGCACCGAGATCCGGCCCTCTGGTGGGCTCCAGGGCTGGCTCGACTCCGTGCCCACACTGAAGCCCCCCAGCCTGCCCCGCGGATCAGGGGTGAGGAGAGGGACAGGGGGGGAGGGCAAGGCGCAGATTGTATGGTCAGAGGTTGGACTTGGGCCTGCTGTCTTTCTTTGGCTTTAAATCGTCCGACACTGGTTGCCATCCTTTCTATTATGCTTGGACGACATGAGATTTGCGGTGCCCTGCAACCCTCACACGCCTGAAAACCCCAATCCTCCACCGCTGATGCAGGGATCTGCCAGCTTCGAGATCCTGTATCTGAAGGATGATCTGCGCATCAGCAGGTCCAGGGGAGGCATCCGCGTGTTCCTGAGGGGCCAGGCCTGAGTCGAATGTTCTGGGAAAGGTGCGCGCTCTTGTCATGACCCTCATGCCACCCCACCCGCTCTGCACCACTCCCCGTGCCTGCCATGTCGTGAGTCCCAATGAGTTAATCGGTGCAACAGAGATGCAGTGCAGGAGGCGTCTGCAGCAGGGGCCGCATGCCCACACAGTGAAAAAGACGGCAACACCAGCCGCGTAGGGGCCAGGAGCTGCGGGGTCTCGTTCCGAGGGGATATCAGCGACAGCGTGGAAGGGGAAGGCGCGTCTCACCCTCGAGTTCTTTGGGTCAGACTCCGGCGGGAAGGGGTACGGGGAGGGAGCACAGGGCAGCAGCGTGAGCGGAGCTGGGCATCAAGGGGATTGGAAAGCGCGGACGTGGCCGGCGGCTGGGGGTTGGGGTCGCCCTCAGGCGAACCGGTCGACACGCACCGAGACGACGCGGCCGCCGATGGACGCGTTGTTCATCCTTTCCACCGCGCGGTCCGCCTCCTCCTTGACGGGGAAGCGCACGATGCCAAAGCCTCTGCGTTGGGCGGCGGGCACAAGGTGAGGAAGGGGGGGGGGGGGGCTGCAGGACCAGGCTTCCAAAGTTGTCTACAGCAGCGGGGCTGCCACCCGCCTCCAGACCTAGCCAAGGTGCTTGAAATCCCCTTGTCTGGGGCTCAGACCACCACCAATTGCCTGCAACCCCCCTATGCATCCTCATACTGTAGCTGGCCTGAGCAGCCCCCTTCCCTCTCAACACCCCGCAGGCCCCACCTTGACCGCCCCCTGCTGTCGAAGACGACATCCGCCCGCTCAATCTCCCCGCACTCCTGGAAGGCGTCCCGCAGCTGCTGCCAGGTGCAGTCCCAGGGCAGGTTGTGCACCACCACCTGCAGGCCGGAGCTGAAGCCCGGCTGGCCGGGCGGCGGCGGCCGCGCTCCTGCCCAGTTCCTGCCGCCGGGGAAGAAGCCGCCGCGGCCCCGGGGATAGTACGACCCCTGCGCGCCCGGCGGGTAGTACCCCGGCGGCGCCCCCGGCGGCGGCATGTAGTACCCCATGTACGCGTTGGGCGGCCAGCTATAGCCCGGCGTCGACCCGGGGGGCCCCGGCGGTGCCCCGCCGGGGATGGGGGGGCCCAGGCCCCTGCCCCGCCCGCCGGGGATGACGTCGCCCACCGGAGACATGTACCCGCCGGGGACGAAGCCGCCGGCGGGGCCTGGCATGGAGCCGACTGCCGCGGGGTTGTAGGGATCGTACAGGGGCCGGGGGCCCACTCCTCGGGGGCCCCCATACATGATGCGCATGGATGGCGTAGTGCCCTGTGGAACGGGGCGGGGCCAGCGGGGAGGAGGGTAAGCGGATCGCCTGGGTGACGTCGCGGCGCGGGCAGCCCCTGTGCCCAGGGCAGGGCACCCAGCGCGGAGCAGTTGGCGCACCCGGCCTACCTGGGGCGGGGCCCCCTCAGGACCGGTGACCTGAAACGCTTTCTTCTTGCCATCCTCCCCCTCTGCCAGTTCAAATTCCACCTCCTCCCCCTCCCGCAGGCTGCGAAACCCCTCGGCCTCGATGTTGCTCTGCAGGGGGAGGGGGAGCGGGAATGGGGCTCGGAGCGGGGACGGGGTGGGAGCTGGCGAGGGGCGGGGTCCGGGCAGACGGTGGTCGCTCCTGTCACTGCGCCCCGCTTTCCCTTGGGACCCCTGCCCGGTCTGGACACCCAACAGGCACCCTCCAGGCGCGTCCCCTCTGCCCACCCCCGTCCCCTCTCATCAAGGTTAGGATGGGGACCCCCACCTGGTGGACGAAGATCTCTTCCTCCGACCCGTCCAGGGTAATGAATCCGAATCCTGCGTGCGGGTCGGGCTCGGACCGGCATGGGTACAGGTCCTTGGCACATGATCCCGTCTTTATCCGACCCCCAGGTCCCCTAAACCTACCTTTGGAGGAGTTGAACCATTTGACAGTCCCCCTGTGCCGTTCCTGTGCGGGCATGGTGCGCTCGGGGTCGGTGCCTCCCTCCCCCGGCTGCTGCGAGGTGGGTGACTCAGGCACCTCCGGCGCAATCTCTGGGCTGCCCGAAGGCTCCTGCCGGTCTCCTTCGACGGACTGAGGCCTCTCCATGCCGCGCCGGGGCTCCCGGCCGGGCCGCCGAGATGTGCTTAACGACGTGCGAGATGTTTACCCCCCGCGCAGATCAAGCTCCCCATCCACCCCATGAACCGGCTCGGGATGTCATTCCAAGGTTGCGAGATGTATGCCTTCACGATTTGCATCCCTCCCACCCCTGGTCGAGCCATGTCTCCCCTGCAGCCCCCGCCGCGGCTAAGCTGCTGATCCGTCCAGCTCAACAGGGTGTCAAGATTGTATCTTGGAAAGGAGGGAACGGCTCTCCGGCTGCAAGCCCCATGCCGGACCCCGATCCGGCGAATGCACGGCGACAAGCCGCAGATGCGCGGCTCCGATGCACATGTGTCGCAGCAATACTTGGCCAGGAAGCTCCCTGGGCCTCCACGCCAGCCCCCTGGGCAGGCTCGCACCTCACGCGATCTGACACATGCCCCCCTGGCTGGGGGCGGGGGCGACCGTCGCCCGCCGTGGCACCGGCGACTCCTCCCTGCATGTGTGCGGGAGCGTGGCGGGCTGGAGCGATGTGCATGACCTGCAGCCCCGGTCATGGCGCTCTGGTGCCTGGGTGGCACCCACCTTGGATGTTTTCCGCACTGGTTGCGATCTTGGCTGCAACCCTCATCCCACACCCCCCGCCGCCACCGTTCCAGACCTCTGACCAGCCCCTCACCTGGCCCCTGCGTCGCTCCGGGTCCTGACATGGGTGCTGGAGGCGTTCCGCCGGATGCCCTGACTCTCCACGTCGCCCGGGGCCGGGCCGGGCGCATCCGACACCCCCCCGCTGCCCTGCGGAGCCGCGATGAGTGCGCCGCCCCTGCCCCGCTCCTCGCTGGGCGATGGGGACCTGCCTGCAGGGCCCAGCCTGGAGTCGCCATTGCGCAGGCCGTGCGTGCCGGCGTGCATGCTGCCGCTGCGCCCGTGCGTGGATGTCGTGACCGGCAGCAGCGGCTTTCCCTGCGGTGCGACCGAGGTGAGGGGTGAATACGTGACTGTCAGGGGTCATTGCTGGAGGAAGAGCCCACGGGCATCTGCATCGCAGGCCGCGGTCGTCTGGGCGCCCCAGGCCTGCAGCGCAAGGGGGAACCGCCCAGCATCACCCTTCTTACCCGGGGATGTTGCTCTGCAGGGGGAGGGGGAGCGGGAATGGGGCTCGGAGCGGGGACGGGGTGGGAGCTGGCGAGGGGCGGGGTCCGGGCAGACGGTGGTCGCTCCTGTCACTGCGCCCCGCTTTCCCTTGGGACCCCTGCCCGGTCTGGACACCCAACAGGCACCCTCCAGGCGCGTCCCCTCTGCCCACCCCCGTCCCCTCTCATCAAGGTTAGGATGGGGACCCCCACCTGGTGGACGAAGATCTCTTCCTCCGACCCGTCCAGGGTAATGAATCCGAATCCTGCGTGCGGGTCGGGCTCGGACCGGCATGGGTACAGGTCCTTGGCACATGATCCCGTCTTTATCCGACCCCCAGGTCCCCTAAACCTACCTTTGGAGGAGTTGAACCATTTGACAGTCCCCCTGTGCCGTTCCTGTGCGGGCATGGTGCGCTCGGGGTCGGTGCCTCCCTCCCCCGGCTGCTGCGAGGTGGGTGACTCAGGCACCTCCGGCGCAATCTCTGGGCTGCCCGAAGGCTCCTGCCGGTCTCCTTCGACGGACTGAGGCCTCTCCATGCCGCGCCGGGGCTCCCGGCCGGGCCGCCGAGATGTGCTTAACGACGTGCGAGATGTTTACCCCCCGCGCAGATCAAGCTCCCCATCCACCCCATGAACCGGCTCGGGATGTCATTCCAAGGTTGCGAGATGTATGCCTTCACGATTTGCATCCCTCCCACCCCTGGTCGAGCCATGTCTCCCCTGCAGCCCCCGCCGCGGCTAAGCTGCTGATCCGTCCAGCTCAACAGGGTGTCAAGATTGTATCTTGGAAAGGAGGGAACGGCTCTCCGGCTGCAAGCCCCATGCCGGACCCCGATCCGGCGAATGCACGGCGACAAGCCGCAGATGCGCGGCTCCGATGCACATGTGTCGCAGCAATACTTGGCCAGGAAGCTCCCTGGGCCTCCACGCCAGCCCCCTGGGCAGGCTCGCACCTCACGCGATCTGACACATGCCCCCCTGGCTGGGGGCGGGGGCGACCGTCGCCCGCCGTGGCACCGGCGACTCCTCCCTGCATGTGTGCGGGAGCGTGGCGGGCTGGAGCGATGTGCATGACCTGCAGCCCCGGTCATGGCGCTCTGGTGCCTGGGTGGCACCCACCTTGGATGTTTTCCGCACTGGTTGCGATCTTGGCTGCAACCCTCATCCCACACCCCCCGCCGCCACCGTTCCAGACCTCTGACCAGCCCCTCACCTGGCCCCTGCGTCGCTCCGGGTCCTGACATGGGTGCTGGAGGCGTTCCGCCGGATGCCCTGACTCTCCACGTCGCCCGGGGCCGGGCCGGGCGCATCCGACACCCCCCCGCTGCCCTGCGGAGCCGCGATGAGTGCGCCGCCCCTGCCCCGCTCCTCGCTGGGCGATGGGGACCTGCCTGCAGGGCCCAGCCTGGAGTCGCCATTGCGCAGGCCGTGCGTGCCGGCGTGCATGCTGCCGCTGCGCCCGTGCGTGGATGTCGTGACCGGCAGCAGCGGCTTTCCCTGCGGTGCGACCGAGGTGAGGGGTGAATGCGTGACTGTCAGGGGTCATTGCCGGAGGAAGAGCCCACGGGCATCTGCATCGCAGGCCGCGGTCGTCTGGGCGCCCCAGGCCTGCAGCGCAAGGGGAAACCGCCCAGCATCACCCTTCCTACCCGGGGCCCACCCCTGCCCAAGAGGGCCCCCCCCCCCCGCCCCCGCGCCTCCCACCTCCGAGCCCTCCTTGACGGTGAGCATCTGGACGCCCAGAATCTCCACCCCCTCCTCCCCCACCAGCGGCCGCTGGGGCCAGTAGTCCTGCAGCGGCCGCTTGGTGGTCCAGCGGCGGTGCATGGCGTAGAACACCAGTGGCACCACGTACCTGGTGAAAAGGGGGACAGAACAGGGCGGGGAGGCTGTGACACGTTCTGCAGGGGGTGGGGTTTGAGTCCAGCTGCAGGGTCCGGGCAAGCACCCGGGTTGCCCTGTGTGTCACGAGTTACGTGCCCCCTCCTGACATGAGAATTCACATGGCTCTGTGAACGCACGCGTGAGGATACAACTCGGGGGCCCCCAGCCGCCCAAAACTCCCCCCCTCCCACAGCGCACCATGCGACCACGACGTCCACGGTGTAGTGCTTGCGGCTGGCGATGATGCAAAGGCCCATGATGCCAACCCCGATCCAGCCCACCACCTGCACGCGGGATGACACATGGATGGCGCTGAGGGTCAGGGGGGTGGGGAGCCGGGTGATGCGGCGCAGCGCCCGGTCTCATGCTCCGGGCTGCTTGTCGCTCCTGGATCTTCCCGGTTCCCCACCCTTTCAGGGCTCGCACACGGGGTCCCAGAGGCAGGCAGCCTCG